GTAAACAGTTTATTTTGCGACACCACGAAACAAACGATAGCGTAAAATGAAACAACAGATGTTTTTATATCATCATCAGATATATATGGTTATATCGAGCAGCCCTAGGCATCAGTGCTAAATTTTACAATAAAATGCGTGATTTTCATTCACCCAGCAGCCGGGTGCTTGCTGTTTCTTGCCTGTCCCATTTGGTTCTTTTGCCTAAGAATTATTGTCTAAAGCCAAAGAAATTTACCAAATGGACCATCCCAGCCTTGCTGTATTGGTCTATTTGATTCAGCTTTGCTTTTATTGTTTATTTTCTTTTCATTTGCCGAACACGGGACAGACTTGACTGGGGAAAAGAAAGAGGGAAAGAAAACGAGCGGGGAAGAGGGACGGTGATAAAGCCGGGGGCTTGCTACTTATCTGTGCCAGCAGCCACAAACCTAACTTTAAGCATTTATAAAGTTTAATAGTGCGCTTTATTAAAAAGCAGTGATCTTGAGTACAGCTGTTATGATACACTTTAACATGGAAGTCTAAAGGGACCGACTCTTGGAGCCAGCCTCGTAATCTTTCAACCCCAAAGTTGCTGCTGGTTGTAAACTCTCTTGGATTTTACCATCACAAAAATCGAGGCATTGTTTGTTTTTGGATTCACGCTTCAGCTGTCACTCACATCACACAGCAGTCAAAGCCAAATCAGGAAATAAAATCTGCTTTGTTTTAGTGAAAGTATGACGACGATGCTGATTTCACATCTGAAAGTGTTGAGCTGTCTACTGAGCGCGTTCAGAAACACTCCTCTGGATTTTGCCTCTAGGCAACCTTTCACAGCAATTACTTTATTAAACCAGCAAAATAAGATCCTGCTGCTGCTGAGCACTGACAGACACCCTGACTGCATCTGAGCTGACATTTATACTGCTGTACTTGATAGGAAAATGTCATGCGAGCCTCAGAAAGCCTGGCCATACTGTCTTTTGATGCATGCGTGAAGCTGACTGGTTTGTGGAGCAAACACTTGCTGACAGATGAGACAGATGAGTTGGATAATATCTGACACTCACTGGAATAATGAGATCGTGTCTTCAGAGTAAGAGATGATTACCTCAGTTATTATTGATTCATATTTTCCTGTGTACTACCTCTGTGTTATCCAGGAACTTGGCTTCCATTAACATTATCACAGACATACATATGCTTCACTATTAAACTTTGTTTAACCTCATCAGTCCAATCTGTCAAACGCTCTACTTTCCCTTCACACCACCACTGATTGCACCGTGTTGCCTTAGTTTATTCAGTATTGCCTCATTCTTATACTGGATATGCTGTGGGCCAACATTAACTCGTCTAGTGTGATTTGTTTATGTTTTCATGCTTCATCTCTTGCCATGTTCCAGGCCTTTTTTAATCCCTATGGATTTATGTAAAAGTATTAATCACCGTATGCCAAAGCATGCACAACCCCATTCTTCCTTTCTAACGAGTGACTGTGCTGTGAAGCAGGCAGAGATAGCACAATGAGTCGGGCTATTTTGCAGGAATGTTTCAATTTCTCCCCTTATTTTCTCTGCTTTCACTTTCAATGGGACGCTATCAAACTGTACCATGTGCAGTTTCTGCTTATCACTGCTATTAAAGAAGCAGACTGCTACAGTTAAAGCAGAACTGAATGACATTATCAAATTCTCCCATGTTACACACTTTTTTTGCCAAACGGGGTCTCGTGCTGCATCGAATGTAGGAGAAAATTTGGAATGACATTGGAAGCTGTGGGACAAATAAGTCCATACTGAATCTCAACTGGGTATTCGCACAGCCAGTTTGAATTGAGCATTTATTTCTTTAAAAAGACTTCCTGGCAAAAACCAAATGAAATGTATCCGTGTGGATGATGTGGTTTCAGTTTCCGATGTGCAGTGAGTGCATCGGGGTCTTTTAAGAGCACTGACCAGGGCTGCTTTTTTCTCAGTGCAGAAACGATCTACTCCAAGTCATAAACAGTGTTAGAACTAATGTTCCTCATGCAGTCAGATATTATGCATCCTTACAGAAGTAGCCAGCGCTCCCTTTACGACCTTAAAGCGTCAAGCTTTTTTTGCACATGTGAGTTTGCTGGTGGGCATTGCATCATTTGCACTGGTCTGCATTACAGGCTCGCTGGAGGTGAAGCTACCATCCCCTATTTATAATCCTCACACACCCACACATTCGTTTTGCAGCCCTGCAGACCTGCTCACTGACTGCAGCGCTTTGCTTCATTGCTTCTCAGTGTAAACACTCCATGATCAGTTCACTGTGCTGTAAACCAACGCTGCTATTTGGAAGCCCTGTGAGGTCACGTTTGACACGAGCAAAACAGAGACAAAGCACACAGACGTATTTTGCTTATTCTTCCTATAAAAACGATTTGCTCTTTTTCGACAGTTTCCTGCTCGTTCAGACGCCATCTGTAGTGGCTCCATGCGCCGCAGTTTGAGAACCACTGTTCCACTTGTATTAAACCTTCATCAGGTCATTTTTGTGGTCATATTTAGTCCCTTTAAACTCTTTAGCTACTAAATGCCACACCATGCTACCAGCGTCATCAGCTGTGTCTGTCTGCTGTTTGCAGCACGGCCGCCTGCTGAGACACGAACGTGTGCAGGCACTGCAAACACAATGCAAACTGAAACATATGTGTTACGTGCCAAGAGGTGTGGCTTTGCTTTTGTGTTCTAGTTATCTTTCAGGTGTCAAGCCTCCACCTATTGGCCAGTTCGAAGTTGATTGGCATGTGTCCATTGGCTGGTCTGGGCCCAGTTGGCCAATCACACGCCGAGGATCACTACAAATGAGCAGCTCCCTGCCAGCTGGTGGCTGCTGGCTTCTGCTATGACAAACATTTGTGAACAGGCTTCTTCGTATTATGTGTGGTGGGAGGCTGGACAGGTAAGCTGGGGTACCCTATACACTGACTGCAGGCGTTAAACTGTTAGACACACTAGGTTATACGGTTGATGCCACTTTTGTATGTTTTCACTGACCTTTTGTCGAGCAGCAGGTAGGCCTTTTGTTTTGCATTTTTCTTTCAGTTAGGCCCTGGGAGCTCTCGACCTCTTTTTGTTTTATTACTTTCTTTGATTTGGCTCAACCGCCCAGTCCTCCTCCCTTTTTTCTTATAGATTCCAATAAATCCTGCTTGGTTCTTAACTGTCCTGTTGTCCTCCTCCTTCATTGATTGTGGTTGTCCGGTGTTGCTGTCTCCTTCCTGCCTTTGCCACCACCATGGTGGGGGGGACGTAACATATGAATTCACTATTCAACATTTTCCTCTTGAATATTACAGAGTTTAGCATCCATCCATATGACGGTGTAAAATGATGATTAAATATGGCACGAGGAGAAACCTCGTGACATCTGGGAGCCATCTCTGCATCTTACTTCAATAAACATTTATACCCTAAAACACTTCCATCTATGAAGACGTGCAGAAAGACCCGCACGAAGCAGAGTCCAGCTCTTGAACAGATCAGTCGCTCTTCTTTGGTGACTTCTATGTGAAAAAGGCTGCATACAAACACTTTTTACTCCTGCAGTCCCGAGAGTCGTCTCTGCCATCTGATGTTCTATTTGGGACTGAAGGATCCTTAAAGCAGCTCTGCTCTTAATTGATTTGGAAAGTGTCCAATGCCTCAGTGACAGGATTACATCTTAATGTTCTGTGTCTGCATTAAAGATTTAGGGAAGCCTTAAAAAGCCTTTGGGCAGAGCAAGAGTCCGAGACGCACGCATGGACGCACACACACACACACACGCATGCACACACACGCACACCGCCATGCCAACTCGATTCTTCAAATTCCAGACCTTAAAGACAGGTCACGATGCACCTAAGAAGTGAAAGCAGCCAATCATAATTCAAGCTGCTCCCTCATAATTATCATACCTGCTGCCAAAACAAAATAAGATTCCTTCAGGCACCGCCTCAAACACTCAAGTTCACAGGATGCACACACCTGCATCTCCACCTGCTGTTGAGGAAGACGCAGATTCATCTTCCTTTTATATATTTTCACACAGGTTCGCAGGTGTTGCTGTTTTCACTGACCCTCTTAAATACAATTAACACAGCGGATTAAAAACATGGGATCATTTCTTCTGTTTAAACTTTGTAGATGTTGCTGATGCAAACTGAAGACAACAGGGTGAGCACCGATGTGGAGCTTTAAACAGCTGGAATCACAGAGGAGCCTGAGCAATGCCTTTTTGTTGGTGTTGATAACAAAGCATTAAGGTCTGAGATGGGATTGCAAAAAGAGCCAATGAGCTTAAATGCTTCATGGAGGGATTATTCTAGAATTGTTTACACTCACCTGCAGCATAGCAGCAGCCAGGTAGACAGACATAAAGATGGGCGTCAGGGTTGTGTGGCCACTCTTCATGAAGTGGATGGCGTAGAGGAAAATCAGGTGACCGGGGATGGCTGAAAGGAAGAGCATCTGTGCAGAACGATGATTGGCGCCTGAGAAAATACAAACAAGATGGAAAAATTAGAGCTGACCGTGAGAGATCCACAATACATTTTTCTATTCTTTATGAAAAACACACAGGCTGGTGACAAACTGTCCACCAGCTGCCCCCACTGCTTCTTCCAAACACAGAGCTAATTTACGCCTGCAGGAGAGGGTCTCACAACGAACGAGCAGGGAAATGGCTAAAAACATGATATCCAAGCCTACTTTAAACACGTGCGTGAAAGCCAATTAAACAGTGCCAGACCACAGTGCTGGTTAGACTGGAGTGTGTGTGTGTTAATACTGACCTTTACCACAGAATGTGCGGCAGGGGTAGTAGCAGCCCTTGGCCTCATCGGGAACTTCCCCAGGAGCACAGTGGAAATGAAGGTGGGTGGAGATCCTGCTTGACTGAATAGCCACCAGGTTACCTCCAATACCTGCACGTTACAGGAAGCAGTTATCAACATAACTTCAACAACAGCATGAAAGCTGAAACAAAACACTACTTTTCACTTTTCCTAAGTGAGAAAACATCAATATTTAAGAGTTCAAAAACCTGCTAATATATGTCCCAAAGCGTGGCTGTAGCTCAGGTAGAGCCGACCATCTGCTGATCCTTAGCTGCTCCCGTCTGCATGCCAAATATCCAAAGTGTGAATGCTTGTAT